CCCCCCCCCCCCCCGACCAGCCCCTTTAAAACGACATGCACATGTCAAAAAAAGAATGTAGTACTACGCGATTTGATGAGTAAATAATGTCATTTTGTGAATATCATTGTTATGGTTTGTACCACATCGAGACATTGATAATAAATATACAAGTGTACCATACTTATCCTGTAATAACCCCATGCGTGCCTGGTAATAAACCCCACCCAAAAATACTGTATTTCAGTATACCTGGTCAATCTCCTTGATCCATCGGTCAATGCCATCAAATGACCATTTATTGGTAATGTCATACACCAGCAGAATACCCTGCAATGATAATTTAATTTGTACAGATCAAAATATATGGGTATTGATAATAATGTTAACAAACACTTAGTGTGACAATTTCCAAAATCACTTTGATATCTTTCATCATATACATGTATATAAACCAATCCATCACAAAAAATACAAATATCAATCACAAACAAGAGGCCCATAGGGCCTGAATCGCTCACTTGGGTATCTAAGCAATCATGGCAAAATATTCTCCAAATGAGATCCAAGGGAATATGCCAGACCCCAATGCCAATTCTTGTAGTATGTCTGTATTAGATTCTTCATGCCCAATAATTTAATGTATGGTTATGGGGTGGGGATCTCAACTGTTTCCATGCTGTGACTCAGAAACTAGATCCCTAGGGTTGTGGCCAGACCCCATGATCAATTCTAATATCCTGCATTCATGACTTTTTGTCCAGCATTTGTTTTTATAGTCTTGGGGTGGGGATCTCAACCGTTTCAAAGTTATGCCCCAGGGGTTAAGTCTGCAAGGGTGGGGCAGACCCCAAGGCCATCCTGGAAGCATATGTGCATTCATCTCTTTATACTCAGCAATTGTATATATGCATGATTATAGGGTGAGGATCTCAACTGTTTCCAAGCTGTGACTAAGAAACCAGAACCCTAGGGGTTCGGTCAGACCCCAGGGTCTATTCTAATACCATGACTACTTTTGTCTCTTTATGCCAAGCATTTGTATATATAGTTCTGGGGTGGGGATCTCAACCGTTTCAAAGTTATAACCCAGGGACTATGTCTCAAAGGGTGGGGCCAGACCCTAGGCCTTCCTGGAAGCAAATGTGCATGTTTCTCTTTATACTCCACAATTGTATATATGGTTATACCGTGGGGATCTCAACCATTTCCAAGTAATGGTAATCAGCACGGGGGGGTCAGCCCCACCATTTGTACAATTTTGAATCCCTGCCTCCCATGAATGCTTCTGACCAAATACAAATATGATCGATACCCATGGCATAATTCTACAGAAGAAGTCGTTAATAGCAATATAGATAAATTGCCCACTTTTGGACCTGCCCCTCAGCCCCTGGGGGGTCAGCCCAACCATTTGTACAATTTTGAATCTCCACTACCGAGGGATGCTTCCAGTCAAATATGGTTGATATCCATCTCTTAGTTCCAGAGAAGTCGCTTAAATCAATATAGCGCAATTGCCCCCTTTTGGCCCTGACCCTCAGGTCCCTGGGGGGCCAGACCCACGATTTATACAAAATTGGTTCCCCTTCACCGAAGAATGCTTCAGACCAAATATGGAACAAATCCTTTCATTCCTACAGAAGAAGGATTTTAAAGAATTTGCTATGTTCCCCCTATTGGGCCCCGCCGCTCAGGCCCCTAAGAGGTTAGACCCACAGTTTATATAAAATTGGTTCCCCTTTACCCAAGGATGCTTCAGACTAAATATGGAACAAATCCTTTCATTCCTACAGAAGAAGGATTTTAAAGAATTTGCTATGTTCCCCCTATTGGGCCCCGCCACTCAGGCCCCTATGGGGCCAGACCCCCAGTTTACACAAAATTGGTTCCCCTTCCCCCAAGGATGCTTCAGACAAAATATGGAACAAACCTTTCATTCCTACAGAAGAAGAAGGATTTAAAAGAATTTGCTATGTTTCCCCTACTGGGCCACAAAGGAATCAAATGATTTATCCCTTACACACGTGGTTCCAAGGGGATAATAATGCCATACTAGATTATCCAACAAGTGAACAAATCTACATACATGTCTTAATGTATTGAACCAACAATTTTGAGAGTAATGTTGTCTTGATAAAGCTCTAATTTTTAGTATGTTTGAGTTGTCGGGTCATGTTAGAGACCCCATTTCTAACCTGGGCTCCTCTGGAGTAGGACCTGAAGATGGTGCAGAATCGTCCTTGACCTGAAGTGTCCCTAAAAATAAATCATAATAATCAATGAGTCAGCTCAAATGATCGTATCCTTTCATGTGGCTGTAATTTATTAACATACTAGGGTAATTTTACCCAATACTGAAATATTGATCTGGAATCCAATCCAGTATCAGATAGATCAAAGCCTAAATCAGAGCTACATGTATGCTGCCCCTCAAAGTATGTATGTCGCATACAAATGCATGCAGCATGTGAAAAACAGTCAACAATCATTAAACATCTATGAAAGATGGCAATTACAGTTAACGTAATTATATAAAAAGTTACATGTACTGATAATTGAAATCTATTATCTTACCATAACTGTAATTTCACACGCCTTCCATCCAACAAAATGGTTGTAGTTTTGTAATCAATGCCTGCAACAAAGAAAACATGAATCTGAATTAAAATACTTTGAATTTGCCACATATGCAAACTGTTACATTTCAGGACCAATTGCATGTCCTATATTTATACTTCACTCTGTTTGACAGTATATGATATGCATTACTATGAATTCTAGATGTTTCTACACCAAGAGATCAAGGTACACAGCATAATATTATAATACACTTATAATTATGATGATTCAGCAATTACATAATTATATAAGATAAAACGATGTTTCAGCCTTCAGGATCAAATCAAAAACATCATAAAAATAACCACAGAGTATTTGGAAGGGTGACAAAAAATTACTTGTTTTATAACACAACTGTATGTGGTAACTAAAACACAAGACATTTAAACATCTCTTAAATGGTTCTAAGATATCGTTGTTTGATTTTTTTTTTAATTTTAAAGCTTTTAACCGATGTTGACCTTTGACTCCAGCTAGCACTTAAAGTTGACAAATGACCTCATTATTGTAATAAAGAAAACGATTTACATAGCTGGTCTAGATCTACAAAACATACCCAAGTATCATGACTCTAGACCAAATAGTTCTTCAAAAATTATTGTTGTTTGAAATTTTAAACATATTTGACCCTTGTGACCTTGAAAGTAGGTCAAGGTCATTTTAAGAGGAGACTTTATAGCACTCCATCCAAGGTACCTACTGGCAAAATAGCATGACCCTTGGCCCTATGGAACTTGAGAAGAAGATTGTTAAAGCTGTTAACCCATGTTGACATTTGACCCCTGAATAGCACTTAAAGTTTACCTTTGACCTCATTACTATAATTAAGAAAAAGATTAGCACTGCTGGTTTATATGACATACCCCATGTGACCTTGAAAATAAGTCGAGGTCATTTTAATGAGGAAACTTTGTAGCACTCCATCCCAGGTACCTACTGGCCAAATATCATGGCCCTAGGTCCTCCAGTTCTTCTTCAGAAGTTGTTCAAAAGAAAAAGTTGACGGACGGACAACGCAGTACGGCATAAGCTCATCACGTGGCTTTTGGGGCCAGGTGAGCTAAAAATAAGCTTCACTTTTTCTGGTCAGCAAGATATGACATTGATATATAACTACATACTACGTTGAAACTATTGTGCAAGCACAACTAAAACTTAGAATGGGGTATAAGTAGCTACACTTGACAATCCATTGTGTAGTTACAGTTTTGGCATTGGTACATGTACATATACAGATTTCTTCAAAATAAAATTGTAGGTGTTTGTTTTCTGTAATCAACATACATCACTATACATTTGGGAACTTATATTTATATAATTAGACACTTGGATCTTTTCAAAATACCGAAACAACTGTGGTATATACTGAAATGTGATTAAGGTTAGACCTGTCTGTATCTTTTGTACAGTAGCTATACAGTATAACCCTGATATACCTCCACTCGTTCTAAGACATTTTGGCAATACAACGAGTTTTCCCTATTAAATGACAGGTGGATAAATTCTTGTTTGTTTTGGGGCACATATCCAACACTTACCAATGAAAACTCAAATAAACATGTATATATGCAATTTTTAAAATACATACCGTTTTTGAAAGAATAATTAGTTCGGAAATATTGATTTAGATCTGGTATTACGATCAGTGTGTCACATGCAAGATATACACTTTACATGTACCGCAGCAAGAGTGTCAGTTTTACATGCCCGTATTTACAGATTTACTTACAATCGTTAAGTAATGTCTGCATAGCGGTGCCAATATTCACATTTCTCTACTGTAAATGCCATCATTTCTTAATGTCAGACTCTGTTAGTGTAATCATGTGTAAGTATTCGACCAAGTAAAGAACCGTCTCCTGTTTCTCTACCGCACAACCCAGGCAGATATTGTCAAGAGTCCGTCTTGTCAGGATTTTTTCAGATCAAGAAAGTCATCGTCCGATAATACCTGAGTGGGCTGCAAGCATCTGATCATTTTAATAAACTGTCTCATAGTCAAACGTAAATCGGGATCGAGATCAAGTCCGTTAGGACTTGTTGTAAAACGGCGATCGCTGTATCTGCATCCGCACCTTTATCTGTGATGCGGTACCTCAAAGTCACGGGGCAAAACAATACAGTATTCGCATGATGAGCACAATGGCGGTGTCCAGTCGGTATCGTAAAATCAATTTAGATTTGTTGGTCAAATTATCATCCACAGTCCGACGTTTAATTGTAAAATGAATTGAATATATTCACAATCTGTTTCCTTTTTTTGAGAAGCCATGTGAGAAGCCATATATGAGAAGCCATATATGATGTGAATGAATGAATAAATAACCGACAGAGGTTATATGGTAAATCGTATTCAGATGTTAATTAATAAATTGATTAGACACACATACTATATATATAAACGTAATTACAACATCTAAAACTGACGAGTTTGGCGGTACATCAGTTGCATTTAGTTGTGGGGAAATTGGTTCCGACAAAATTGATGGCGGTATGCGAGTTTTGCGGTACAATGGGTGGCGATACATTGAGGTTATATACTGTATATATAGCTATAGGTTTTTTTAATAGTGTAACAGGAGTGGGGAAATGCTATTATGAGGGAATGTGGTGAGTGTCGATAATCAGACTTGAAAAAGGAAAGTAGAATCATGTTTTTTCTATAACTTAAAACTTTCATCAAGTTTTATGCTATATACACTTCATGAAGATTCTTCAATTTTGATGCTTGTGACTAATCATTGCATGACTAGTAATTGTGCTAAGAAATTATATATCGGATATGCCTATATAATCTTTGCAACTTTAGATCTAACGTTAGACCAGACTAGACAAAATGTGTCCAAATTCAACTTATCTTCACGTTATTTACATTAATTGACCCCTCACTCAACATTACCACAACTAGAGAATCCGTATGGTGATTCTGTAGCTCCATCTTCCATTCCCCCAAGCAGCTCCTCCTTGCCGACATCACTGTCTCCAACCAAGAGGAACTTGAGTAGGTAATCGTACGGTTTTGGCGATCCTGGAACTATGCTAATGTTGGGGGAACTGACACCACTACTCATATTTGGCCAATTACCTAGTTTTCTGCATAATGAATGTCCTTTAACGGTGGTCCATTATAAAACAATTTTACCATTTAAGGAACCATCTGTAATAATACAACCAAGCGGAATTCCTTGGGTCTTCCTAACTCATCTTGAATATGTAAACATGTTCATCAAACTATCCATTTTCATCCATTTTTTCCGAAATGCTCACGCACACCGGAAGTAATTCCGTAATTCACCGGAAATTGTTAATTACAGATGGCGGGTGTTTTGATCTGTCAAAGTTGCATCTCGTATGCCAACTAGACATCATTCTAGAACAATGAGTGGGAACCAAGCAGAGGTAAACTGCCCAAAGGAATTCTTCGGTTTATTTCTTGATCTTTATCCACATACAACGTCCTGACTTACAAATAAGGGTCTTAATAGAAGGAAATTACCTCCATTATCCCGCCCCCTCCAAAACATTAGCATGCCTCTCCCTACCTGCGGTACAACGTAGCTTTATGACGTCTATTTTTTTTTTATATATATATTAAATATCCGGCCGGGTATGAATAGTACTAGCCCCTCCCTAGTCCAAATTAACTGGTCATCTTACAATACTATCGCCTAGTCATCAGTTTCCACGCGTTATGTATCTCCGCGCAGACATTTTATCAAGCTACATGTATATCTCGTAACTTCGTGACCTGCTGGACACAACACAGGGATAATTTAGACGTTTGGCCATCGTCTGTAAACTGACACAAAAATTACTGGAAGTTTGTCCAGAAAACATAAAAAATAATCACCGATTAAAAAAACATGCATAAATATGCAGTTTTGCTTTATGCACTTTTTATCTCGCTCAAAATGAGCCCATACCTGATAAAACGGTGATATATTTTATTCATGAACCGGTCTTTTTTGTAGTCCGGCAAACGTACGAAAAAGTTGTATGCAAATGAGACCACATCTCCTCGCCGATTTTTTTTCCACTTCCGAAGAGCCAAGGAGACATTCATATATCGATAAACAGTGTTTTCAATGAAACGTATATATAAACCTTGTAATGCAATGAACTTCCAATTTTCACCAATTTTAATCAGAACAAAATGAGAAATAAATTAAAATCAACCAAAACCGATATTAAGACTGCAGTAAAAAAATAATATTTAAACAGATTCTATATTATAACTAAATAAATATAATAAATAAATTTATAAAATTACATGAATTCGTTCTTGAAAAATCAATTAAAAATGTTAAATTTGAAAATAATTGTATTGATAATTAATTTGACGATCAAAGATATTTTTTTTTATTCCAAACGATGCTTTTTGTTCTTGCAGGTCACTGTAGAGAATTTCTTTTTTATCTTTCTTTGAACACTAAATCAAAATAGACACACGGAAACATATGACGGCTACTTCCGACGGGAGAAATTTGTTAAAAATTGTTTGTTCTGATTTTTTAAAAATACAGTTTTGTGTTGCTAGTTTTTTGTTTCCTTGAGTAGATTGTATACATGTTTATGACAGTCTTGCGTAATTTCATCATTTTTCTGCTGATATGAGTACGAAATTGCGGATGCTTCTTAAGTGCGTGGAAACGGGTAACCCGATGATACTGATCTCTCTTAATTTTTTAAGCTCACCTGGCACGAAGTGCCAGGTAAGCTTATGCCATGGTGCGGCGTCCGTCGTCCGTCCGTCCGTCCGTCTGTCCGGCGTCAACTTTTTACTTTAAACAACTTCTTCTCAATAACCAAAAGGCCCAAGGTACTGATATTAGGCCTGTAGCATGCTGGGATGAAGGGCTACAAAGTTTGTTCAAATAAATGACCTTGACCCACTTTCAAGGTCACAGGGGTCAAATATATTAAAATCTTCAAACAACTTCTTCTCAATAAACGAAAGGCCCAGGGTACTGATATTAAGCCTGTAGCATGCTGGGATGAAGGGCTTCAAAGTTTGTTCAAATAAATGACCTTGACCCAATTTCAAGGTCACAGGGGTCAAATATATTAAAAGCTTCAAACAACTTCTTCTCAATTACCAAAAGGTCCAGGGTACTGATATAAGGCCTGTAGCATGCTGGAATGAAGGGCTACCAAGTTTGTTCAAATGAATGACATTGACCCACTTTCAAGGTCACTGGAGTCAGATGTCTTAAAATCTTCAAACAACTTCTTCTCAATAACCAAAAGTTCCAGGGTACTTATATTGGGCCTGTATCATGCTTGGATGAAGGGCTACCAAGTTTATTCAAATGAATGACCTTGACCCACCTTCAAGGTCACTGGGGTCAGATGTCTTAAAATCTTCAAACAACTTCTTCTCAATTACCAAAAGGCCCAGGGTACTGATATAAGGCCTGTAGCATGCTGGGATGAAGGGCTACCAAGTTTGCTCAAATAAATGACCTTGACCAACTTTCAAGGTCACTGGAGTCCGATGTCTTAAAATCTTCAAACAACTTCTTCACAATAACCAAAAGGCCCATGGTACTGATATTGAACCTGTAGCATGCTGGGATGAAGGGCTACCAAGTTTGTT